TCACACTGAAGAATCTAAAGACGACGTTTAAATGAAGAAACACACTGAAGAATCTGAAGACAACGTTTAAATCAAGAAACACACCGAAGAATCTAAAGACAACGTTTAAATCAAGAAACACACCGAAGAATCTAAAGACAACGTTTAAATCAAGAATCACACCGAAGAATCTAAAGACAACGTTTAAATCAAGAAACACACCGAAGAATCTAAAGACAACGTTTAAATCAAGAATCACACTGAAGAATCTAAAGACAACGTTTAAATCAAGAAACACACTAAAGAATCTAAACTATGAATGTATCATAGTTAAACTACCATAAAATATGATCTGGGGAAAAAAGGAAGACATTATTAAAGCTGCAAACTTTCATTTGTTACAATTTATTTCTACACTGTTATAAGATCTAATCTATAGAATATATATGTGACAAAAACACTTTTTATAGCTATACATAAGGATACAAGTTAACATTTTAATTCAAAAATTATGTAAAGCTTAAGTTAGTTAATTTGAAGAGAAGTGTCTGCACCAAGAATCCTATGGATTAGTTTTAATATATGCAAGTATAACTTTGTGTAAAAAGGCATATAAATTATTTCTAGTTATGCAATATTACCGATTCCTCCCCACTCCCTCTAGAAAATATTAAGATGTACACATTGTAAGAGCTTTAAACTTTCACATTTTTCTACATTTGTTTTTGTAGTGGAAGACTAAGTAGTAATTGAGTAGAGCAATGATTAATAGTAAAAAAAGTATGTATTAAAATAAGAGAGATGGTTAAAGAAATAAAAAGGTTTTACCGTACGTTTTTTATTCACGTAAAAAAATAATCAACAATCAATTATAAGGACAGTTGTTTTTCCTTAAAAGTTATTTTAAGAATTTTTTGCATTTTAACTTTTATCACACTATAGCTGCATTTGTTTGACATTAATATTCCTATAAACAATATCAGACATTATCCATGCAAAAAAAAAAGGGGGACAATACTGTTGCTATCTCTCGCATCTTTCAAACAAATATCATTTTAATACAAGTTTACTTTTAACTCTTTAAATGTATATCTTACATGGACACTATTTTATTCTAAACAATTTTAATAATTTTCTACAAGTATGTATGTAAAATTATAGACAAAACTCAATAAATGTATTGACACTAACTCTGGAGGAATCTAAACTACACAACAGATCATTCTTCACTTCTATTAACACTTTCAGTGCAATTTTTGTATTGTTAAAATAAAAATGATACAAGCAGCTATAAGTTACATAGGATCAGGAATGCTTTCTTAATTACTGGATAATTTCTCCAAGTATGGTTTCTTGAATTTGTATATGGGAAATGCATCTCAACAGACATCGTTGTTGAGTGACTGTAGCTATTTTTGAAGATATGTTACCAACGTATTCTGAGAGTGAAAATAATGAAAAAACATCTTACAAAAGTTTTACTTGTCCAATTATGAAAAACAAAAATTATTCTTACAAGATATTAGTGATACATAAAAAAAAACATTTTGAAGAAGGTTTAATGACAGTATTTGAAAATGAAATGAACATTCATGTAGCACCCCCTGCTACAACTTACAAATGTTAATGTAAAGTATTACAACAAGCTCAAAGAAATTTGAAGACTGCAACACACGCCTTTTCCTCAAAAGTACCAAAATAACTGTTCAACTAATTTTTACTAGATATCAGTCTCGCCAATCCTGCACAAACATACAATGAGACAATGAGCAGTACTGAAAGGGTTAAAGTTACTTATTATACTGTTAGGAATTAGGAACTTAAATAATACAGTAAAAACCGGTAAATCCATGTCATTATTATAACCATATTTGCACATTATCCTGAATGAATAGTTAAAAATTTTCCAGTATAACGTCTTAAAAACATTTCTTTAAAGTATTTAAAACTAAGTTTATAAACCTAACATAAGTAACATTTTTAAGGCAAGTTCTGTATTTCTTTTTAAAAAATAATCTTTGGTAAAGGACAGAAATTTTAAAACTGAAATTGATAAAATTAGATCTTATTGAACTAGTTACACACACACACACACAAGATGAAACTCAGACTTCAATGTGCTTTAAAATAACAAACCTTGTAACTAACTTTTCATCTCATAACTCAAACATGTTCCATGAAAGAACAATATAAAAATCTAGATAATTTTTAATGTATATTCACTTTTGTTCAATATTGATGTTCTTACTTTGGCAATTTAAATGGCCTAGTAAGCTTTCTACTCAAGAATGCAACAGTTATGTATATGGTGAGGTAGTCAACCTTTTAATATAAAGTTATATACCGTACCAACATAGCAGGTCATTTTTACATCTATTAGTACAAGATATTCAGGTTAGTCTTCCATTTTCACACGACAAGCAAATCATGTCTCATTATTAGCATGAATTGTAAACATTTACAGATATACAATGGTGTATACATATATATATATGGAATCCTTTAAATATTCCTAGTCAAAACCTTTCCATTTTACAACCACTAAAAGATGTGGCATCTTCAAACACATCCATCAAAATATTCAGGTATTAAGTGTTCCTGTACAAGATGTATACAACAGCCTCGTACGTTGCCATCATGATGGCCGTGTTGGGAATCTGCCTCACCAACTGAGTAGCTAAACCTCGGTAAAGCCCACGATAGCCTTCTTCTTTGAAAACCAACAGCAGAGTCTGGAAGAAGGATCTATACTTGTTTCCTTCCTGTCTAAGTCGTGTTCTCACCACCTCTGAAGTAACAACATATTTAGTAAGATGTTTAACACCAGGGGAAGTCTATTATAATTTATTTCACTATAATTTACTGATTAAAAAGAATAAACACATCTAACAATCAACTTGCATCCTCTATGATACCACTCAAAAATAGCTAGACAATTACAAGTTTTGGACAGTGTATTTTTTCTTTACTTTAAATAACTATTCTAACCTCAACTTGAAGAACAGCATTATTTGTAAAGACTAAGTTCCACTATATCACTAGCGATAGACTTAGAGGATAGGGGTGGTTGGTTCTATTGTAAGCTTTACAAGGAAAACTACACTACTAAAGCTAACTACTTGATTAACAAAACCAATTTCTATAAAACAAAAACTTAAAACTTCTGTAAACCAATCAAATTAACAAAATCTCTCTATACAAAACTTTTATATAAAGAAGGGAGAATTTCTTTGGTAACTAAAATACAGAAGGTCATTGATCCTAGCCACTATAATTTAATCACAGTTACACCCAGAAAAAATTATCCACCTTTGCTGACCACCATATGAAAGATGACCTTCACCAAGCTTCACAGACACAACCGAGTTCAATAAAATTATTTGACAAACTAACGTTAAACGACCACTGTCTTTAATAGTCTTCTCCGACCCATACACCAACATTATTCAGTACAAGAATCCAAAGATTATAGAAACACGTAAAATTCAATAATCATTCCTAGATTTAATGTGTACAAAATATTAATTTAGACACACTTGCTTCATTTTCTTACACAATGAATATTACCATTGATATCGGAACTGCATCTCACCCTACCACCTTCTTTGTAGGTGACACAGAGTGCCTAATTCTTAGATAATTATTGTGAAAAACACAATTGGAAATGAACGATCCCCACATAACTATACAATATGAATTGGTTCAAATATTTTATCAGTCGCTAACTCTAAAGAAAAACAGTATATATTAAGTACCATATCCATACTTTTAAGAATACAACTTATGTCTCTGGAAAAATTTAGTTTTTCTCAGTAATCATTTTAAGTACGGTTTTCTTGTTAATTGTATCAATATCACTCTTTCAGAGTGCCTAAATATATAATCAGCAATCTGATACCACTAGATAGTGAAACCAAAACCAAAGCAATCACAGATAAAAGAAGCCAATCTAAACACTGTTAAGCACTGACAGCACACCTTAATTGTAATTTTCAGTTTTTATAACAGAGGAAAAAAATTCTTAAGTTTTCTTTTTAACTAGAGCTAATAACTTATAATTTTGATGTACTTATATTTTTGGTTTCTAATTCAAGCATATTTTTATTTGTCATATCCTATTAGTCTGTTTCAGTTCTTCAATCTCTTGCAGTTATCACTATATTTAATTACTTAATTTTTTTTAATTAAAATTTTCCTCAGATGTCAATAATTTCTTTCCAGGGTTCTTTTCTTTCTCATCTCCCTAAAGTATTCCCTGCATGCTTTAGCCTAACATCTGACAGTAAAATATAAAACAAAATACGGTTATACATGCACTGTATGAAAGCAAATATAGTACATGTAAGTATTTTCAGGGTTAAGTAACTGTCACAGTTGTAAATTTGATACAGTTCCATCAGCAGCATAAATACAAGAAAGTCAAACATCAAGCAATCATGTTCTTTTCAACCAATGGGCCTGTTGAAAGCTGAAGCAGAACTGTGGCTACACATTGGAATACTGTTACAGTACTGAGTAAACAAGATAACTGAGCCTCGAGATGAGTTCATGACTGACCTGAACTTCTTTGAATTGCAAAGAAGCTCCATCTGTATTTATTAATATTATATCTAGATCATTATAGCTAAAAAAAAAAACCTAACATCACTTGGTGGTTGAAAAGAACAACATTCCAAGTTTTATAACCATGAGGAAAATAAAATTGAACATACAAAGTAACTGTATATTCAAAACAACAATATATTGAAAAATGTATGAAAAAGTCACTACTTTGTTACCTTTTCACCTGGTGGCATTAGAAACCTACAGTAACACTAGAATGAACAATAGGATCAGGTTTATTTATTACTTTACATTCAGTCCAAGATATTCTATATCAACTATTATACTTCAAAAAAAAACATCTTAAAATAATAATCTCACTACGAAAATACATCCCATAATGAACAAGTATCCTTACAAACTGTTTAATGAATATATTACAGATTTCTTTCATAAAAGGTAAAATTGAGGCCTAATCCAGTCTTTGATTGGATTCACCCTCTGCAGCTTAGCCTATCCAAGGCTCATCAGCACAGCCTGGGTGTATATATATCTATGGGGTTTTTGAATCTCTTTTAATTCACTATACAATAACCTAATTTAATTTAGGTGTATGAAAAATACCAGGCCTCATGTCACAGATTATATCTTAAGTTTAGGGACAAAAAATCTCCGTATAAGCATACTTATTTATCTTTCCAAAACTTATATACTTATATAATCGTTTTTGGCAAAATACGAGCAACTTGTGTTGAAAAATAGCACTTAAAAATACTTTTCAATTATACGTTTTTAAAACGTGTTCAATGTCAATAGTAATTAACTTATAAAATTATAGCGACAGGACTGAAGTAGGTCATTGACACTTGTTCAATAATTCATACGACGTTGTTATGGTTACAAAATATAAACGTTTGTTACAAGCTCGTGGCGTCTAGTATATTTATTTCACGCCAAATTGAAAGCGGGGGGGTCGAATAATTTTGTTGGATTGGGGAGGGATTTTAATAGCACAATTACGGTAGTTCACGAGCTCAAAGAGCATTGCTTGGCGTCAAATAAGGCGCCCCCCCCCTCCTGAATCTGCAGTAACAAGTTACAGTATATCA